ACGCCTAATTTTAGATTTACGTTTTCAATATAACTTCTATATTTAACATGTAATTTATTCCATGTAGTTTTATGTATTATTATCTTAGTCCCTTTACATTATTGTTTTTGCAACTTGGACAATGTAGTTTTTTTTAGACCAATTTAATTAACATTTGGTTTTCCTCTACGCTAATTTACAATTATTTTAGTTTTAACCAGGAGTATGTTTATAACAACTATAATGGGGTTGATTTTAAAAAATATAGCACTATAATTACGTTATGTGATTTTGTATTACTTTATGTGATTTTGTAAGATTATATTCTTTTCATTTGAACCAATATATTTCATTTTTATTTTAAAAAATTCTTCTAAACATAAATATTAATTCAAAACATTAGTATGATTCATCACTAACATGTTTTGGGTAAAAACAATGTAAATTTAAAATAGCTAACTATTTATAATTAATAATAAATTAATCGATAGTTATTGGTGCCTCGATAGGATAAGTTAGGAAAAATGCAATAAAATCCTTATATATTGGTCTCATAATCGATTTTGTCAATATATATATTTTTTATTCAATTAAGTTTCAAAAACCGGTAATCGTATTCAATTTAACTCTTTACCGGGTCAACAGGTCATCCATCTTTCAAAAATTATATTTTTGGCCCAGATTTTAAATTTTATTAGAAATTTGGTCCAAAATTTACAATTTTAACCCCGGTTGTAATTTTTTTTTTTACAAATTTGATCTAATATATACTTTTTTGGCCCATATTTTAAAATTTTGTTATGAATTTATCTAAACTTTAGTTTTGTTTACAGCTTTTTTCTAAAAAAAAAAACCAAATGTTTTTTCTTTATAATATCATATTTATACAAAAAAAACATATTTTCACAAGTTAGGATTTTCTTTTAATCTCAATTCCATCCTACATCAACAATCATCTCCACCTTTATTCCAAAAGATAACCACCCCCAACATAAAACATCGCGCCTACAACATCTGCTACATCGGACCGCTACACCATGATCTATCGTTGTTTCTCTATTATCAACAACGGTTAAAGTTAGGGTTTTCTTTTATTTTATCTTCTGAATGTATTTACTCGATTTTGTATTTCAATATTGGTAATGGATTTTGTATTCCAAGCCACGATTTAGTTTTTGTGAGATTTATGATTGTTTGTTTGTTCAAATCGTCGGAATGAAACAAATCGTGTAGGTATCGTCGGAATGAACAATAGCCTAAATGAAACAGATTTAAAGGAAACAATTTGAAGAACGCCGAATGACACTAACTTTTGTTCGGAAACTAATCGTCGGAATGAAACAAATTGTCGTCACTGCAACGCGGGGTCACGCTACTTGTGTGTGTGTGTATTATACACCTATATTATAATAAATACATTTGTATTCAAACACATTTATATATAAAATAGGTGTTTGTAAAATACATGTATGTATACATTTTTTTTTTATAAAAACGGATTTGTATATATTTATGTACTTAATAAATACCTAATTTTATAAACAGATATTTCGTGTGTGTGTGTGTGTGTATATATATATATATATATATATATATATATATATATATATATATATATATATATTGGGCCAAAAATGTAATTTTTGAAAGTTTGATGACTTGTTGGCCCGATAAAATGTTAAATTGAATACGATTACCGGTTTTTGGGACTTAATTGAATAAAAAAATATATAGGGGCTAAATCGAATATGAGGCAAATACGTAGGGATTTTATTGCAATTTTCCCGATAAATCATGTGGTTTGTTCATATACTTTTTTTAAATGTCATATATAGCTACACTAAAACCAAAAAAAAGTTATATAATCAATTTCTTAAACAAAAAAAACAAAAAAAAAAAAAAAAAAAAAAAAAAATTACGTGATCTACACAAGCGCCTTGTTTCGTAGTGCTAGATTTCGCAAGTTATTTGAAGTTGATGCTAGCTTGTTGGAAGGAGAGTTTTCGTTAGGCGAAATAAAAAATTAAAAAAAAAAATTAAAAAAAAAATTTTAAAAAAAAAAAAAAGAACAGTTTGGCTGTGTGGTGGTGATAAGTCCCCGATGTCAGATGGATTCACTTTTAAATTCTTCAAAAAATACTAAGATTTACTTAAAAATAATATTGTAGTATGGGTGAAATACTTTGAAGCTGGAAACAAACTTACCAATGGATGCAATTCACCATTCATCTCTCTAGTTGCCAAAACCAGAGATCAAATTCACTTTAGTGACTTTAGACCTATAAACTTGATCGGATCACTTTACAAAATCATTGCAAAACTTTTAGCCCTTAGATTAAAAAATGTCATTGGAAGTGTTATCGATGAGGTTCAATATGCATATATGGAAGGAAGGAATATTCTTGAGGTCCTTTGGTGGTTAATGAACTCTACTCTTGGGCAAAGAAGAAAAGAAGAAAGTTGATACTCTTCAAGGTTGATTTTAACAAAGCATTTAATTCCGTGAATTGGGTTTTTCTGGACTCAGTTATGAAACAAATGTGCTTCGGTAACAAATGGCGAAACTGGATTCGCAACTGTTTGGAGTCAGGAAGAGCATCAGTACTAATCAATGGAAGCCCAATGAGAGATTTTTCCATGACTAAAGGGGTGAGACAAAGCGATCCTCTATCCCCACTCCTCTTTAACATTGCGATGGAAGGGCTACATTTGGCAATGGAAACGGCGGTAGACAAAGGGGTCTTTGATGGGATTAATTTCGCAAACTCTAACTTTTGTTTGTCACATCTATTTTATGTAGATGATGCATTATTCATTGGAGAATGATCAAGACATAATATCGCAAATCTAGCAATATAATAATTATAAAAGTATCAATCGTTGTTTTTATGGATTATAATCTATTTTAACAAATGAAAAAAAAAATAATAATAATAATCAGGAGCTTTTTAAATTAACACATATAAATCCATTTGATTTTGGACGGCTGATATTTTTTGGAACACTTTTACGGTCTATGAAAACATTGAAATGGACACAATTAGACGACGACAAAAAAAAAAAAAAAAAACAGGTTTTGGAATTTGATTAGTATGTTTTTTAGTTTAGAAACAATTTTTTTTTTTTTTATTTTCTTAATCTTTTAATATGCAAAATTTTAAATTTGGAGAAGCATTTATTTTAAATTTTACCTTTATTTCTCAATCTTTTAATATGGAAAAGTGTGTTCTTTTCTTTATTAATATTTACCTTTCAACGGATGAAACAATAAGTATATAAAACTTTAAGTTATAAAATAAAAAACGAGAAAACAAAAATTATAAATAAGTTACTAGAACAGTCTTTCATACAATTTGCCATTAGATGATAAAAAATCACACTTACAAAGATACATCAAAATGATACATTTGTTTTTCATTTTGTCGTTAACTTGCAAAATAGTCACAAAGCCAATAGCACCGTTTACCCATGCCGGACCGTGTTACTTAGGTCAACGAGTACTTGAAGCACATCATAATAAAATGAGTAAATTACACAAATAGTCCCTATGGTTTACAGTAATTTACATGCTTAGTCTCTAACTTATTTTTTTAACTCGAAAGATCCCTACTTTTTGTTTTTGTTACGCGCTTGGTCCCTGACTTACCTAAAAAGACTATTTTGCCCTTGATTTTTTGAATTATTTTAATAAACGCATCCCCAATCTTACACCCTTCACCTTACCTTATCTACCCCACCATTTTTACCTATTTAAATAAAAGTTTTTTTTAGCTAAGATAGGGACAAAACGTGTAACAAAAACAAACAGTTGGGACCAAGTGCGTAACAAAAACAAACAGTAAAGACCTTTCGAGTTGAAAAAAATAAGTTAAGGACCAAAAGTGCAAATTACCCCAAACCATAGGGACCATTTGTGTAATTTACTCTAATAAAATTCGATGGAAAATGTGATTTTAATCAAGACAAAATATACGAAAGAGGAAAAATGTTTGGGAAATGGAAAATAGGCAACTTTGTCTTCACTGTTAAAAATGTAACGTAAGACATTACGTTTCTTCTTCTTGAATTTATCTTCACGTCTCTTTGATTCTCCTCCTTTTGATTTGTTGGACAAAGACATACGGGTTTTTTTTTCTTGATTTGACCATTAATTTTTTGCATATCAAACTGATGTTTGTTTTTTTTATTTTTTATGAATTTATTGTAGATGCTTTTGTATAAGTGAGAGAGTTTCCTATATGGAATATTAACAAAGAGGGCTAGAGAATTAACCATTCTTCGATTGAGGAGCTTGATTTGTTTAGCAAGGATCGAAAATTAAAGGATCTTGATGGAATCCCCCTAAGGGAGCCGAAAAGTCATGGCTATCGGAGAGTGGGCAGAAGTCCGGCAAAGAAGAAGAAAACAGCAGGAAGATCATAACTTATCCAAGAACATGGCAATATCATTCTTTTTCCAGAACTTTCCTGAAGATTGGGACGAGAAGGCTCTGTGGCAAACATTCCAAAGGTACGGAACAATAGTGGATCTCTACCTAGCCAGGAAGAGGAATGTCAAGAACAAGAGGTTTGGTTTCGTTAGATTCATTAGAATAGAGAATATCTCAGATTTTGAAGGAAAACTAAATGGAATCTGGATAGGAAACTACAAGCTAAGAGTCAATTTAGCTAGATTCCAACGTAAAAGCACAGCCAACCCCCGCTCTACTATGCCCCCCATCGGCCACGGCCAAAATAAGCAACCCTATGGCTACCCCCATCTTCACTCGTTCCAACCCAATAATCAAGATGCACAGAAATGTACCAAGAGCTATGTAGAGGTGGTTACAGGAGATATACTGCCGAAAGAAACTACAAATCCAACCCCAATCAGGATGTCATCCTTTGAGGAAACGAGAGAATTCATGAAACGGGCACTAGTTGGCGAAGTGGAAAATTTTCCAAGCTCTAATGAATGTGAGAGATTTTCCGGAGGTTGAAGAATGCCCGAATGTAGTAATGAGATATTTGGGAGGATTAAAAATGCTCGTGGAATTCGAAAGTGAAGCTGCAAAGTCCAAGTTCTTAGTGGACGGAAGGCAGATCTGGAAACCTTGGTTCAAGACGATGTATAACTGGAATCCAAAAGAAAATTTTAACGTAAGAATAGCTTCCATAATGATTTTCGGAGTCCCTCAACATGCATGGTGTGAGGAAGCTTTCTTGGTCATTGCAAGAAAATGGGGCACTGTAATAATACCGGAGGAATGTGCAACTGATAATCCAAATATGGCGTTTGGTCGGGTAGGGATCCTAACATCGCATCCAAATTTAATCAACCAGTCAATAACCATCTCGGTGGATGAATCTCCTTTCTCCATAACAGTTTTGGAAGACCTCCTTGAGTCTACAAGGCTAAGTCCGGCGGTTGCTAGCAATGAGTTCGCCCTCAGTCCTAACTCAAGCCCTAAGTGGTTCGAGAACTAGTATTGGGAGGACCTCCATGAGTCGAGCGTCGAAGACATCGCAGAAGAAGGTGAAATCAATAGCTCTGATGACGAAGACATCGTCTGCTCCCCAGTTCAGGATACTAACAGCAGGACCCTTTCAAATTCGTCGACGTTACACCCTCGGGAAGATAAAGAAAAATCTCCGATGAACAACAACTGCTCTCACAACTCCCAAGGCTCTCCGCGTAATCCAAGAAGCATGGATGCGGCTAGAGAGGAAAACGAAGAGCCACTCGATCACATGGGGAACTTCTCTCCTCATTCGCTCCAAAATCCGGGTACGCTCCAAAATAATACAACAGTTGGAAACGAAACCCAATCCAAGTCTCCTAATGGCCCAACTCAAGAAGGATCCACATCCTTAATTAGCCCAAGACAAAAATCGCCAGTAAAATATAATCGGATAGATTTAAACTCAGCTCCCGTCTCCTTTGACAACGTAAGCCCTCTTTTATCCCAAAATCACAATGTCTCCCAAAACTCTCATCAGGTTGGGATCGAGAAATCAAACACCGAGGTCGAAGTGTCACAGACAATTGAAATCGGAGAAAGGATTGGTTTTCAAGTGCAAGGGTTTGAAGACCAGATCAAGGAAATTATCAAGACAAGGCGAATCACAATCATTGATCAATGAATATAGTGTCGTTAAATTGCAGAGGGGTTGGCTGTGAGGTAAAACGAGATTGGATCAAGAATATTAGGAGAGACAATAAAGTTTTTCTCTTAGGTTTACAGGAAACAAAATCAGTGGAGATTAAAGGGTGTCTTGACAGATCCATATGGGGTGATTCCAACTTTCAATGTGAAGTTTCTGATCCTTTGGGTCTCTCGGGTGGTATCGCAACAATTTGGAACCCCAATCAATTTAAATTATCTGAGGTTATCTCCGGTAATAGCTATCTGTTAACCAAAGGGGAATGGATCCCATCCAAAACAGAATACTCTTTCGTAAACGTGTATGCCCCAAATGACCCGGGTCGCAGGAAACTATTATGGGCTGAGTTAGAAAATTCCCTGATCGCTCATAGCAACTCCCGGTGGGTGATTTTTGGCGATTTCAACGAAGTTCGCTCAGAATGTGAAAGGCTAGGTTCAAGCTTCTGCATTTCATCAGCAAATCACTTCAACAATTTTATCTCAAATACAGGTCTGATTGACCTCCAAATGGGGGGTAGGCGTTTCACGTACATGAGCTCCGATGGCGGTAAACATAGTAAGCTGGACCGGTTCTTAGTCTCCTACAATACCATCTTCGAGTGGCCCCATCTGCAGGTCACCGTGCTCCCCCGCCTATACTCCGATCACTACCCAATCCTGCTCTCTTCACCAATATGTGACTATGGCCCGTCCCCATTCCGTTTTTTCAACTCATGGCTGCAAGATAAATCTCTTGATAAGGTCGTAGCTGCAGGTTGGAATTTCGAACCTTCAATAAGATTTTTCGCATCTCTCTCCCCTATATCTGTTGTTGCTGGGAAATTGAAGAACACAAAGGGCAAAATCAAAGAATGGAGGCAATCAAAAAACGTAGACGCCAACATGAAGCGTCAGGATCTTATAGATAAAATAAATAAAATCGATTTAGAGGCAGAATGTGGTGTGGCTAATCCAAATTTGATGGAGCTAAGAAAGCACGTTCACAAAGAATTGCTGGAAATTGAATCCAAGAGGATCAACGATCTCAAGCAAAAGGCGAGATGTAAATGGGCCCTGGAAGGAGACAAAAATTCAGGTTTTTTTCATGGTCTAGTAAACAAAAATCTGCGATCACAACGCATTCCTGGCATCAATATAAATGGATTCTGGAAATCAAACCCGGTGGAAGTGAAAGAAGAGGCTATCAAACACTTTTCTGCAAAATTTAAAGAATCAAAGCCATGCAGACCCTCTTTTACGAGTCTTAAATTCAAAAAATTGCCGCCAGAGAATAGTTTGGAACTTGAAGCCCCAATTAGTTTTGCGGGAGTTCGATCTGCTGTGTGGATGTGTGGGTCAGATAAATCCCCTGGCCCTGACGGATTTTCATTCGCATTTTTGAAGAAATATTGGGAAGTAATTGGTGGAGACATATACATGGCGGTTAAAGACTTTGAAAGATCAGGTACCATCAACAAAGGCTGCAACTCCTCATTCATCACACTAGTCCCAAAAACTACTGATCCCAATACCTTCGATGACTACCGTCCAATAAGTCTCTTAGGGTGCCTGTATAAAATCATCGCCAAAGTTCTAGCATAACGTCTGAAGAAGGCTATCCCTTTAGTCATTGGCGATACTCAAACAGCCTTCATCAAAGATCGCTATATCCTTGATGGGCCTTTGATTGTTAATGAAGTTATATCTTGGCTCCGGAAAAACAAGGCTAATGCTTTCCTTCTTAAAATCGATTTTGAAAAGGCATTTGATTGCCTTAATTGGGGCTTCCTAGATTCGGTAATGGCACAAATGGAATTTGGGGGTAAATGGAGAAGCTGGATTCAGGGTTGTTTATCTTCAACTAGAGCTTCAGTAATCATAAACGGTTCAGCAACCAAGGAATTCAAGATGGAAAGGGGAATCCGCCAGGGAGACCCGCTATCTCCCTTCCTCTTTATCTTGGCCGCTGAAGGTTTAAACGTTGCCATGGAAGAAGCTGTAGATCACAGGATATTCAAAGGTATTTCTCTCCCAAGATCGGGTCCAATCATGTCCCATCTACAATATGCAGACGACGTGATTTTCCTAGGGGCTTGGTCCATTTCAAATGCCAAGAACCTAATTAGAATTTTACGTTGTTTTGAATTATCTTCCGGTCTTAAAATCAATATGTCAAAGAGCAAAATACATGGGATTGGGGTCAACAACCTCGAAATCGAATTACTGGCCAGGAGTATATACTGCTCGGTTGGGAGCTTTCCCTTCCCATACTTGGGAATACCGGTGGGGGCTGCAATGTCTCGAGTATCACTGTGGAGTTTTATCTTAACCAAATTTCAATCTAGATTGTCAAAATGGAAAGCTTCATCTCTCTTTCGGTGGAAGGTTAACGCTATGTAAAGCCGTTCTTGGTAGTCTTGGAACATATTTGTTCTCCCTATATAAAGCCCCTGTGAAGATCATTAGTACATTGGAAAGTTATAGAAGAAGGTTCTTTTGGGGAGGCTCAACCGACAAAAACAAAATGTCATGGATTGCATGGGATAAGGTCTTGGCTAGTATTGATGATGGGGGTCTTGGGGTCGGGAGCTTGAAAGCCCAAAACCTCGCTTTATTAGGGAAATGGTGGTGGCGGTTCAAGTCAAACAAAAAAGAGCTGTGGAAAGATGTAATAACAGCAATATATGGAAAAGAGGGGGGCTTCAACGCTCCTTCAAGGGCTAGGAGAAAAGGTTTTTGCTGGGGCACCATTGTAAATCTGCATTCCGACCTATCAAAACTCGGTATTGACCTTAAAAATCTGTTATCGTTCCAAAATGAAGGCAGGTTCTGGAAGCTGGGGTCCTCCGGAATATTCACAGTAGCCTCTCTGAGAACACATATAGATAACAATATCCTGCCAAAATCAAGCAACTGTTGGATCTGGAACCTCCTGGTTCCCCGAAAAGTAAATATTTTAGCTTGGAGAGTTATTCACGGCAGATTACCAACTAAAGAGAATCTGTTTAATATAGGAATCGGTTCCAGCCCTCTTTGCACTCTATGCAATCAGCATACCGAATCCGAGAGCCATTTATTCACTACCTGCTCAGTTTCATTAAAAGTATGGAGTGAAGTTGCAACTTGGTGACATCGGTTTCCAACAGGTTTCCAGTCAGTTAAAGATCTTCTCCACTACAAAGCAAATGTTCAATCTAATGGCGATTTCGGTTTAATTCATGAAGCTGTGGCTTTGGTCGTTATCTGGGTTATTTGGAGCTTTAGAAACAAAATGGTTTATTCAGACAAGCGCATCTCTCCTTCCTGTCTCATAAATGATATCCAGACCTTATCGTATTTATGGATAAATGTTAGACATAAATCTAAGAATCTTAGATGGTTAGAATGGTGTTGTAACCCAATCCAAGAAGCTGGCCTGAATTAAAATTCAAATGGGGGGGGGGGGAATGGGGATGGGTGGGCTCCTGTTCATTCTTTTGGTGTCTTGGTGTATGCCAGGGTGTAGTTTAAGTGTGTGTTTAGTGTGCGTTTTTCTTTTTCCTCTTTCCGGGTAGATATCTTATAGGCTTAAAACTATACCTGGCATTTCTTTCGTGTATTCTTTCTAGTGTGGGTTAACTTAAAATGGGATGTGGGGGAAAGGTGTTATTTGGTGTGCGTTTATCTCCATTCGTGTTTGACTCCTTCTGCAGGTTCCTTTCAAATTCACTTATGTTTTAGCAGTAGTCGCACTTCATATTGCAGGTCATCTCAATTGCCCTCATTGGAGTTGGAGAAATCTCATGCAGGAGATGACGTTACCTTACGTGCAACTGGAAGATAGTCAAGGAACAAATTGACCAAAAGAACCTGGTCTCTTTGAGGGGTATTTTTGGTATTTTTGTTTTTGTTTTTGGAAAAGGTAGCCGATGTCTCAAGCTTCCTAGGAGTAGACTCTGGGCGTAACTCAAGTTTTGATTTACAATGTAACTCCCTAGTTTCAGCTTTAAATTAGTATAGGCTGTCTTATCCGTATCTATGTTCTATTTACTTAACATTTTGTACTGTATTTCCAGTTTCCTGCTGGTTCTAATGAATACATATATTAACCTTGCCGTTCAAAAAAAAAAAAACAAAGAAGGCTCTAAAAGGAGTGTTATGGCGGCGACTTCTGGCTACATCATTCCCAAAACCTTCATAACGACGATGTCAAGAGTAGTCTTGTCAAAGAATATTATGGCGCATGATTTTTAAGGCATTTTTTACAAGACTTGAAACCATTGTGTTTTTGTTAATTTTTTGTTATTAGGTTTGATCACATTTTCTCATTTTTTTTAAAATGATTACAAACAAACTAACTAACAAAGATGATAACATTTTTATCTTATTTTTTTTTTAAAATGACCAGTTTGTTTTCGTAACACCATGTTCCGGTCCTTCCCGACTATTAAGTGGCAATGAGATGTGTGTATGACATACGGGCTTAAAAGAATTATGGAATCTAACATCAATGACATAATATACATTTAAGATTGACATCATACATTCTTGAATATCATAACACACATTATTTCTTTATTTAGATACAATTTACCAACCCATAATAGAATCTCTCAACAACTAAATATGAGTTTATCAACTCGAGTTCACGAAGAAAGTTTTGCCAATATAGCTCTTTACCATCATAATCTTCAAAGAACCAATATGCATGAGAATTGTTACCCATATCAAGAAAGATATGAACGACCGTTTTGAGTTTTCTTTGTCGCTCTCGGACAGCGGTGAAAAAAAAATACACATGCAACACTTGTTTGCTTGCAGTTACAATTTGATTAATATGATTTACTGTCTAATAATTTATAGATTTGAACATTTATAAGATGCTACTAGTAATCTTCATAAGTTGTACCCCTCTGACCCTACTAGCTTACGGTTTGGGTATGGCACAAAGTATCAAATCGTGGTCCTGGTTTTTATGAGGCTAAAAAACTGTCATGGGGACGATAATGATGTATCTTT